TTGTTGGCGATGGAGACTCCACACACAAACAGTGTTAATCTTTTTTTCTTAATGATTGATAAATTGTGAAGTATACTTGGACCTCCTCTTCCTCTTCTTCCTCCTCCTCTTCCTCCTCTTCCTCCTCTTCCTCCTCCTCCTCCTGCTTCTTTTTTTTTTGAGATGGAGTTTCGCTCTTGTCGCCTAGGCTGGAGTGCAATGGCATGATCTTGGCTCACTGCAACCTCCCCCTCCCGGGTTCAAGTGATTCTCCTGCCTCAGCCTCCTGAGTGGCTGAGATTACAGGCACCCACCACCACGCCTGGCTAATTTTTGTGTTTTTGGTAGAGACGGGGTTTCGCCACGTTGGCCAGGCTGGCCTCGAACTCATGGCCTCAGGTAATCCACCTGTCTCGACCTCCCAAAGTGCTGGAATTACAGGCATGAGCCACTGTGCCCGGCCAATGACTATTTTCTAGGTTTTTCTCATGGTCTTTTAATGGAAATAAAATAAGAGGCTTGTGGCTGCACCATGGCCTCAATTCTTTCGTGATTTTGCCACGGATGGATGTCTAGAGTGAGCCCTCCTCTCCTCTCACCTTTCCTGTCTTGCATTCTCTGCCCCGCCACCTGTGTTTCCTTTTCATCTCTCTCTGTGTCCCAGTGTAAAATACTTTTGTCGACAAATGTTTTCTCAGAAGACCTCTCGTCTTTTTTTTTTTTAGGATGGGAAAAAGGAAGTTGCCTTTTACGTAGGAAGAATGGAACTTCTCTCCGCTTCCATCACAAACCAGAGCTAAGGTGAGTCACTGAATGTTCGGGCATCTATGTCAGACCTAGGAAATGGGGGAGTTGTTCACTTAATCTCACTCCCTCTGAAATTAGATTAACACTGTGGACAACTAACATTTTTCACAGCACGAAGCATTGATATTTCTCTTCTGGGGACTATTTGTTGTTGTTGTTCTCAGATCTCAATCTTTCCTGGTTTCTGCTATTTAAAGAAATTTTCTTCTCTCAGTTGACTTGGAAATAAAGCTCGCAGAAAATCACACGTAGCTGAAGTAGTGACTACTAAACTATATTAAAAATGCAATAGCCTTGGGATTACTTTGTGCATATGAACGTCTGAAAGATCAAAGGCATTACGAATTCGAAGGAAGCTTGGCTATCACAGCAAACCATGCAAGTGAGCAAAGGCAAGCAAATTACAAAATACTGCAGGTGCCTGAAGAAGAAGCGCACGTACCCACAAACCAGCCGTCATCGCACTTCTCCATCACATCGATGACATCACTTTCTCTGAGCTCCAGCTCGTCTTCGTTCCTAGGAGTATAGTTATACAGAGCCTGAAACCTTAAACAGGACAAGGGAAGGTGTTTAAAAACATGTGGACACCTTCATGACACATAGAAGATAGACAATATTCATTCTTCCTTTAACATTCCTATTCTTAACATTCTATTGGGTGGTACAAGCCTGGTAAACACATAAATAGCATTTTGTTGGGTGGTACAAGCCTGGTAAGAGTGTAAATAGCATTTTATTGGGTGGTACAAGCCTGGTAAACATGTAAATAGCATTCTGTTGAATGGTACAAGCCTGGTAAGCATGAAAATAGCAATATTTAGATCTTCACAGGCATTAGAACACTCTAACAACATTTTGAAACTCATGAGGAATATCCATGAAAATTGTAACATTCATAAATTGGGTTAAAATATGTTAACATTTGTAAGTCAGACCCGCATTTGAATGGTCCAGCCATCTAATGTCTATCATTCAGACATTATAGTACCAAATATAAAATAAGAGATATTTGTGTCATTTAACTGTTTAAAAACAAGAAGGAATCACAATTTTAGCTAGCCATAATCAGAAGCAAATAATGGGGGCTTGAGAATTGAATTTTCAAAGGTTCTAAATGGAGATAGACGAAATGTCTCAGACTTGTCTTTTAAATCACTCTATTTGAATTACTATACAAAGGAAAATTATTATTTTTTTCCAAGAGGAATTCTTTAGATCAGTTTAATGTTATAGTTTGGATCAGTGTTTTCTGAGAGTTGGAAAATTTGATGTAATTAGCCTATGAAGTTGAGTAGATGCATTCCATAAGCAGTTATTACTGAGTCAATTTCAAGCAGATTATAGACATAAGTCTCTTTTTAAAATGAGTCCCAGAAAAATTGTATTTGATTTTCAAACTCTCTCGAAATAATTTTATATAAAAAAGAATTATTTATAGAATGCTACCACTTTCCTTTCCCTGCCTGAATTCTTCGACAGCATATACTGTGGAGAAATTGATCAATAATGAATTCAGACACTGAATTTGTGGTAAGAAAACACCATGCATTATAATAAATAGTAACATGGACTGGTGTTTTTGGAAAATGAAGGCAGAAATTACTGTAGCTGAGAAGGTCATGAAGAATTTGATAGGCAGTTAGCACGAAAACTTCTTCATAATAGTACTAAAATATTACCAGTACTGTGAGCGAGACTTTTAAAAATCAGGAATCTGTTTCTGCTGCTTTTTGTAACAGCGATGTCATTCTGCTAATGTGAGAAAATAATAACCACATTCTAGGGCATTTTCGATTTTTTCATGCCAACTTTAAAAAGTTGATAATCTTGACTACTGCTCCGGAACAAGAATGATTTATTTTTAATTACTTTATGAGTCAGAAAATAATATTTTGGTAGAACAAAACTATTCTATCATTTAAACGCAAACCTTATGTCATTAATAAGCAACAGTGACCCACTGGCTTCCCCCCAGTTCATCCACCATTTGGATTGGGGGAGCTGGATAGAGCTGATTTCAGGGGGTGCCCAGCACCATCCCCTAGAAAATACTGTTTTCCCTGGCCTGGCACCAAAGCCTGAAATGTCAACATTAGAGGCTTCGTCCACTGTTAAAACTTCATCCTTCCGGTAGACCTTATAGCCACCCACATTCTTTTGAGTATGGGCTTCTGAGGCCTTTTCTTGAGAGAGGGGCTTGTGATTATGGGGAAGGGCAGAGAAAGGCAGCTAGCATCCCAGGGCAGTGGCCAAAAAGGCAGGCAGGTGTGGAATACACAAACGTCACCTGACTGAGATGTTTGCATGTGGCCAGCTTGAGTAGCGGTAGTCCATTTGTTCTGTTGTTTGTGTTAAGAATTTGATTTGGAGGCTGCTCAGGTGAACGGGTGGTATCTTTTGTGTATCTGTGTGGAAAGTTCACAGTCCCTTTTCTAGTTTCACATTTGAGAGAGGGTGGTCATTCCCGGGCTGCGGTGTTGGTGGATATACACAACACTTCTCACTTTGGGGAAACTGATTCTTTCATTGAGCTTCTCAGGCTTGAATCCTACCCAGGCTCATCTCCAACCACTTGTGGAGACCGGTGACCTAAGGCTGCAAACCGCAGCCGCCGGAAAGAATCTCAAGGTCTCAGGGCTAACGCAACAAAATTGGCACGGACTCCTGCTTCATTTGTGTTCGATGAAAGCCAGCGTGTTTGTCCACGTTTATTTACCATTCTGGTTTAATGAGTCCACAAAAACAAAAACAAAACAAAAGCCACGGAGTTTTATGGAAACACAAACACACCTTCAGGAAATCCTCCTGCCTCTACTGGCTTTCAGAGTCAGTGCTGCACAACAGGAAATGAAGTCGAATCCAATGTGAACAAATGCTGTTCTGAAAGATGTGTTGGTGAGGTGAATGACGGTGGTGGGGTAAGGATGCCTCAAAAAGAAAGGTGTCTTTTAAACCGGAAATGCTGAGCCAGGCTGGAGGCCCTCTCTAACCTGCAACGTTTTCTAGAACATATTTCACTGAAGCTCTGAATTGTAGTGACATAGCATTACGTTCCTACTGTTGCTCAAAACTTATTTTTAAATGACAGCAACTAAGCAACACCCTAAAATCCCACTAATTCAGGCTATAATCAAATATCAATTTAATAAACAATGTTTTCTAACATACGAATCAGGACTTTGAAAATGTAACGTATCTTTCATTCACAGACACTTTAAAAGCGGTTTAATATAACATGTTGGTAATGCAATAAAACCTACACAGCGCTGGAATTTATTTTTTATAATGTGATCTTATCATCGTTTGGGTAAATAAGAGAACAAACAAAAACTTTAGAATTACAAGTCGTATTTAGTGTTTTCCAATTAAGCGATCTTTTTGTTTGTTTGTTTGTTTGAGACAGGGTCTTGCTCTGTTGCCCAGGCTGGAGTGCAGGGCCATAATCATGGGTCATTGTAGCCTTAACCTCCCTGGCTCAAGTGATCTTCCCACCTCAGCCTACTGAGCAGCTGGGACTACAGGCACAGGCCATCACGCCTGACAACTTTTTATTTTTATTTTTGTAGAGATGGTGTTTTGCTATGTTGTCCAGGCTGGTCTTGAACTCCTGGGCTTTGGCCTTCCAAAGCGCTGGGATCATAGGCATAGTGACTGCACCTAACCTTAAGTGAGATTTTAAATGATTATCACTGCTAACCTGTTCTTTCCAAAATACAGACTTTCCCGCAATAAGAACAGCTTTCTGGCTGCACTCTGTGAGAGCCAGTCTCATCCGGAGATGCTTTGTGCTAAGTTTCAGGTCTGTGAGGAGCAAGGAAGGACTTGATGGTGATAAAGGAACCAGACCACATGCCAGGACCTGCCTCAGCGAGGAGGCTGTTGGTAGCCTGTTCTGCTCCAGAGTGTGGGCAGTGGGTCAGGATCCCCCGTGTGTGCTCAGATACGGGGGACAAGGGTTAGGTCCATGAGTGAGCCTTCCCAGGGCTGTCGCTCTTGGCTCACAGTACACGGGCAGAGGCCAACAGGAAGTTTTTAACTCCTGAACGTCTCTCAGGGACAAAATGGGCCCGAAAAAGAAACACACAGAGAGAATCTTCAAGATAACGTGTGACACCTTCAGGCTGATTTAACTCATGTATCAGAAAGGAGAAGGAATTTGAAAGGAAAGTTTGAAAAGGCGTTTTCCTGGTGCCGTGGAAGTAGTAGCATGTAACTGAGTAAGAGTGAGTGTTTTAATACTACCATTTTCAAATGACCCTTCTAAGCATGTCACTTTGGAATGACAGAATGATCACTTTAGGTCTTTTTTACACTTAGGTCCACTTTTACAGTCGCCCAGTGGGTGTAGATGTAAGGTTAGAACATGTTCTGTATGTCTTTGAAGCTCCTAGTTACTTGTTACACAGCCAGCAGAGCAGAGAGGGAGACAGAGTTACCCATCTCAGGAATCACTGAAGCATTGGAAAGTTTTCTTGGTGTATCAGTTAAAATCTCAGAGAACTATGGGTTCTTTCAAAAATTAGTTTCTGATCACCGTCATAAAAGATGGAGAGACTATTATAATTTCTTGTAATTTAGGAGGCCTCATGTTAGTTACTTTGATCTTTCACTTGCAAAGCCATACATCTTACATTTTGGTACAGTTGTCCATTTTGTGGGTCAAGGTTAGTCTCGAATTTAGAAGATAAGAAGAATACTTACGGTTCCCCCCCACCTTGAATATTTTCATGAGTAAACACAGGACGCTGTGGCTGAAATGAAATGATTTTCAATGTAATCAATGTTTAAACTGGTACTAATTAAAAGATAATTTGGATAATGGCATGGTACTTTTCTTGACATTTAATATTTCCTGTTGTAAAAAACCAAGAGGAAGAAAAAAAAAAAAAAACCAAATAAAGGGGCAGCTTCAAATTAAAGCAAAATAACCAAGGTCAAATGTTTTGAACATGTCTACAATCTAGTCTGCTCAAGCTTTAAGGAAAAGCCAGGGTTTGGTCCCATTGATTTTTCAAAGGCCAGGAATAAGGTAAGAACATAGACAGCAAACCACTAGAATAGGAAATATAGACACCTTCATACAACCTTATTCTCCAGCGTTTTCTCAAACAAGCAGAAAATAAACCACATTTAGTTTCACAGCAAAGTATCCACATTCATTCTGTCAACCTTTCCTTCACAGACAACATTTTCACATACAGCACAGAGGAAAATATCAATAGGCAGACATCCCATGCTACATCTGAATTAACATTCTCTGTTCTCAATGTGGAGAAAACACATGCATTTTTAAAAAGAGAAAACAGAACTTTGGAATGCAACGAACAATATCCGGGTAACATGTAACATTTTACCTTAGAAGAGAAACATTGGTAGAAATTTCCAGTGCACTGAACTCTCGAAAGAGTTTCTTTTCTTTTTAAACTAAGCATCAAGACCAGTATCTGTAATAGATACTTATAATATTGGAAATGACAAGCCTTAGCATCCCATATACCCACATTAATATTTTCAATGAATGAAAGTTAACACGTTTGTTGAATATATAAACTCAGTGTAATTTATGTTGACTACCTAAACTTTACTTTTTAGGGGAGAAATGCATACAAATCACTCATAATACATTTCAAAAACACTCGCTTCTAAATGATAGCTACAGGGTAAAATCAGAATTTGCATGGCACTTATATAAGTGACTGTTTTGATGACTACTGAATTAGCTATTAGATCCACGTCCTTAGACATTGGGCCAGCTCTTAGATTTCCATAGTTATGAGTGGATAGGCTGAAATCTCTTCCTGCAAATTGTCTGTAGAAATCCCACTGGTCCAAGCTCGGATGGATAACTCTGAGGTTCCTCTCAGTCTATGAGTCAATGATTCACCCACTTCCTAAATTCTTTATCCACCCCCTTTCTATCCTACTTGTCTATCTAGCATAAGACTAGGTACTCACAGTACTAAAACTGTAAGCTTTGATTCTGTTAATTGGAAACCTTTATTAACAGTGTTCTTAGAAATTTCACTCGACAGTCTGCGGATAGAATATTTAAAACTAGAACGCGTAAGAATTACTAGACACAAGTATGACTTAAGAGTGTGAAATAGTTTACTCCTGTAAATCAATATAAGACTACTAATGATGTATCTATTATTAAAATTGGAAGATATTCATATTTTAAGAAAAATTATGACTAACCAATTTTCCAGCCATCTTAAGATCATTTAATTCAAGATATTATTAAATCAATTTAAATATATAAGATGGTAATTGTAAGTCATTGATAAGCTTGTATCATATTACCTATTTCAAGTTCTCTTCCAATCTAATAAAACTTTATATATGTATAAAACTGTTATGCAGAAGTAAGATTTGTATACATCAATTGCCACTAATAGTATTTTGTAATAATTTCCCAGTCTTTTTTTTTTCTCAGTCTTCTTTCTCATTTTAAATGCCTGCAGAATAATGGTCTCCCACATGTGTCTACATATCATAGTTTTCTTAACCATTCATCTCTTTTTTTTGTTTGTTTTGAAGTTAGAATTGGTCTAGTCTTTTTTCTCACTATCATAAGTAGCAATGCTATACACATTTTCTTATGCAAAGAGCTATTTTCTGCTTTTGAACCATTTTTTAGAATATATTCCCAGGAGTAAAGTTTCTGGCCAAAGAGTATGCATTAAAGCCACATGATTTTGAGAATGTACATGTTAGTCACTGAAAAATACTGTTCTCAAAAGTAACTTGAAAACGTCTAATATGCCACACTGCATATCACATACCAAGATCGCTACGACTCTTTCCTCGAAACGATCGGCACCATCTGCAGTGCGTAAAAAAGTTATGAATAAGAAAATATTGTTTATCCTTGTCTTAAGAGAAAATGTTGTGTAAAGTATATTTCATTATGCTCTAAAATTGGTATCCCTGTTTTCACACATTCAAACCATTTTAATATTTTAAAATTGAGTAAAAGTTTAAACTTCTACATCACGATATCCAATGCTTTGTAAAACTGGTTAGTTTCATTTCATTGCTCTTTTGTTAAAATGTGAATACTACTTTAAGAATCATATTGTTCATTAATATAAAACAATAAACTTTTAAAGTCTGTACATCCCTTTTTAGTTATCATCATTATAATTCTACTAGTTTAATTCCTTTAACTCAACCCACCTCATCAATCATTTAAACGAACTGTCCCCTTGACCATTATGAAAATTTGGTGATTGCTGCAAACGTGCAGCTTCCTGGATCCCACGTCCATGGCTGGAGAACGTATGTTCGTATGTGGCAGCCAGCACTGTCCTTGCTTTTTTTTTTTTTTTTTGAGATGGAGTCTCGCTCTGTCACCAGGCTAGAGTTCAGTGGCGTGATTTTGGCTCACTGCAACCTCTGCCTCTGGGGTTCAAGCGATTCTCCCGCCTCAACAGCCTGAATAGCTGGGACTATTATTATATACACCACCATGCCCGGCTAATTTTTGTATTTTTTAGTAGAGACGGGGTTTCACCATGTTAGCCAGGATGGTCTCGATCTCCTGACCTTGTGATCCGCCCGCCTCGGCCTCCCAAAATGCTGGGATTACAGCGTGAGCCACCGCACCCGGCCCTCGTCCTTGCTTTTACCTGTTTCCCAATATCTCTTTTCCCTTCCTTCTTATCTTTCAAACCCTGCGCCTCGTTTTAGCCACAAATCATCAGTTTTCTATACTGTTCACATCCTGAGGCCAGACTCAATCAAGACTTCTCTTAGCAGAGAAGTTGTGTGTGTCTTACAACGGCGAGTTTTAGAACTTTTCAAAGCTTGCCTTTAACAAGAATCACCTCCATGTTAATGTGGATAACCAGGAGACAGTTCTGAGGAAAGCTGACCAATAACAGTACTTGAAATAGTTTATTTTTAAAGCATGTGACTAGTAGGGAATGAGTAGCACGAACAGTTATCTATGTCAGCTCATCTGCGTCCTTCTGTTTTGGGCGTTAACCACCATGTAACCTTGGGGATGCCTCAGCTCCCCTATCTCTGAAATCAATGAGTTGGACAAGATGATGGTTAATCGGGTCCCCTCAGGGATTCCATGAAGGACACACATTTCCACAGATATATTTCCTCTGCTGTGTAAAGGTGTCCATCATCAGCTTTACACAGACAGCTGGGACACTGACACTGACTGGTTAATGCTCATGTGTCTCGGTCATGTAAAAAAATGGCTACAATTCAACTCCATTTTGTAGATTAGTAAATCAAAACCCCAAGGATACTGGATAATTTCTTAATATGACAAATAGGTAAAAAACAACAACAAAAAGAAACAAAATGGTAATTTTGATGAGCACTCTTCATTGCATGAAAGATTACTATGCTGGACCACTCGGCCTAGCTTGGCTAAAATCAGCCTCTTAATGTTGACGCTGAGGTAGGTGCAAATGTCCTATAAGGTTATGTAAATAGATTATCTGAGGAGACAATCTTTTGCCCTTTCCCCATGGCGGTGTCACGCAAATGGGCAAGTCCCTTAAGGAAACACTTGTAATGCATCTGCACTCTGTTGCCACCTAGTGGTGAGCAGTGGCAGCAACAAGCTGAGAGTTGTTTCTGCTTTATCCTGCTTTATCCGCCCCTTTTTATCCAAGTTCCCAAGGAGGGATTCATTTTAAAAGCCTATTTTAAAGGCCACAGAGTGACGTGGAATAGATAGTCATCTGTTTTTCTAACCATGTTCTTCCCTCCCCACGTTTTACATTCTTGAGAAAGAATCCCTTGTAAGCCACCAGCATTTTTGGTCCGTGTCCATTTCTATTTTGACTATCTGTGCAGGCATTTCCATTTCTCCTAACTTCTTAGCAGTTTTAAGATAAATATACAACGATATACATTTGTGACATTCAGAGAGGCTTCCATCAGCCGAACCTAGAAAGATGGCTTTCAACTGACACATTATAATCATGGTGTTGGACATTTTGAGCAAGAATTATATTACGCTTATATTTCCTTGATGAATCTTAAGAGGAGAATAACGGAAAATCCAATGAAGCATGCTGCTGTTTTCTTGGTATCTTAAATATGTATTTTTTTTCTGTAGCCCTAAATATGTAAGTTTTTTTCTGTAGCTATTTTTTAATGTTGTCAAAAACAGATACAAAAGAGACAAGTTTTAAACACATGCTAATTTCCAAAGCTAGAACCAATCACAAGTTACTGTTCATAAGGAAGCTGGTTTGAAATATCATGGAGTCTGTAACATCAGTAAAATATATACTTTCCTATCTTAGTGAGCTACAGTCTGTTGAAAAGCTGTCTAATTTATCAAAGCTTCTGCAGTTATCTCTGGAGGATTAGCTATATTTAGTATCAAATAATTCTTAAATAAGGATTGACTGTTACTTTAAACACGAATGCAGAAAAATCTCTGAAAGCAATATAAGCAGTGCTAAAGTGTTTTGTCATTTCTTTCATAAAATATTAGTTGTACTTGCCAACTAGAATTAGATGAAATTCTCCTAATAATACCACATTTATGTTTAGAGAGGCTTATTTTTCCTTCTTAAATTAGGAAGGTAAAACACAACTTTGCACAAATCTAAAAAATAGAATATTTACGGTTCACACAAACACGTGTAATCTGACATACAAATACATAATGTAAAAATCACACACACACACACACACACACACAAAATCTAAAGGGGAACGAAAGCATAGCATCTCATGGACCCATAGGAAATTTATAGATGGGTGCTCTTCA